GGAAATTTTTGAGTCCAGGGTATACACACAGTGCAATTTATGACGTAAGGCAATTTAGATTCATCATTGTCTGGAGTGGCTTTTGGAAACAACCTTCGTATTTTTATTTTGTAATCACCCCCAAAACTTTCTTTTCTTTCTTCTGTTTGTTTCATGTACTCACTTCCAATGCCAAGGTCAAAGAATTTCCTAAGACATTTAGACTATTCAGGTCTCAAAATTAAACAAGCATTTATTTTTTACTTTTGTCATTAGTACATCTTTTTTTTATTTAATGGGTATGTTCCTTGTAAATTGCATCATTAAAAAAAATTTTAGTTAATTATTTTTTTGCTCACATTTTTTAAATTATAACTTATTTATACGCTCGATTGCATTGACATGCCTACAAGCTAGGTATTTTTAAAAAGTTTATTCAAAATTCTTATATACAACCAACAGTTTAACAGTTACAATTATTCACTACAACGTAAAATAACTTTTTTATCGTAGCATGTACAACAAAGGCTCATTGAATAGCATTTTTGTTTATCATTAAATAATTTTTAGTGGTTCATAAGTTTAAAATACTTTTTAAATTTAGAATATATTTCATTAGTTTTAAATTTGTGACATTTTATCATTTTATAAATAACGTCTATGATAAACAATTATTACAAAAAGCACATCGACGTTTTATTCTTTTATGTACAAAATTGCAGAAATCTTGATATGAACATTCACAAAAATTCAATCCCTCATTTATAATTATACATGAAAGGCTGTTGCGTTTTTCTTTTTTGAAGTCGTTGCAAACATAAATTAAAAAGTTTCCGTGGCAATTTCTTAATGCTTTTTACAGTGACAATACTTTTTTCATTATTTTAGTGTACTTATCATTTCAGTTTCACGCATGCTCGATAAACTGACAATTTTTAACTTAAGATTACACTTATTTGACCTTAAAACTGTATGGTACTACCGTAAAAGAAAATTTCTTTCGATAAGCGTCACATTTATTGAAAAAGGAACTGAGTTATCGAGCGATAAACTGCGCTCTGTAGTGATATTTCTTTAACTGATTACGTTCGAGCAACGCATACAGTCGCTTTCTTTGGCTGCAGCGATTATTTCGTATCACAGTTCCGAGTAACTTTCCGTAAGGGTTCCTCTCGGAGAATGCGATAATAAACTATATCAACAGTGTAAGATATCAAGTGGCAGCGGATCAGCAGAGTGCAAGCGATTTGTTATCATAAAAAAAAAGATAGTACAATAATAATAGTGATAGAGAGAAATAAAGTCATGAAACTTATTTGATTGTTAGTTGTTTCATGAAAAAATTTAAATTTTCAAATTTTAAACTGTAAAAAAATGCTGATTAAACGTCAAAATTAGTCAACAGTGAGAATAAAAAAAACCAGTACGGCGTATGACCGTGTGGTAAGAGCAATATTTAAATAAACTATGCATCAAAGAATAGTAAAAGTTCCTGCAACAAATTATAACTAAAACCACAGCAGTGATGCGATGTTCTCAAATATTTTTTCTAATATTCTTGAACGTATACGTTAACATTTTTTGAGTTTTTGTGTTGTCTGATGTGCTATTTATTATGTTATCGTTTTTATTTCTTAACTTTTTTTTTTTTTAATAAACACTTACGTTTTAATTGCGCCATAACTACAGGTGTTGCGTAAGTCGTGGGATTTTGTGCTATTTTTTACATGCTGATAGGATACATTTTTTTTATTTATTTGTCTCTTTAATACTATTTGATTATTTTTCAACAAACCTGAAAATCAAGAAAAATTTGTTGCTGTTCCTAAACAAGCGTCAAATGTTTATGAAAGTCATGATTGAAAAACGATATACTTAGATAAGTGTTGATAAGTATAAATTTAAAAATGCGTTTTCTTAGATATTTTTTTTAAATATTGGTAGATTACTGCAATCACATTTTTTCGAAAATTTCATGTCATCCCGGTGGAGTCGTTGCAAAATGTTACCTATGTATATAGAAACTATGGTAAAAATCAATGCAAAACAACGATAGACCACGGCAAAACCTTACTGGTAATTTTTTTTTCTAGAGTCTAATCATGAAGTGATTAATTATTTTCAAATAATGCCGTTTTATACCGATGTAACGTCCCCAATAGATAGTATGTAAAATCATGAGAGCAATTGATGAAATTATCCAAAGTGTGGAATCAGTAAAATTTTAGTGTTGAACCCCTCGGTGCGCGATCTTACTGTCAGGTTCTACTTAATGTATATACGAATTAATTAGTTTTCATGGGCTAATTCTTAAAAAGTCGAACTATTTTTATTTTGTGATAGAAAGTAATGTTTATCTACAATTGTAATAATAAAAAATAATGATGTGTCAATAATATATGACTAATGATTCATTCAAAATTATATTTGGTAAGTCATTTAATTTGAAACACCGAAAAATACATGTAACAAAATCATAATGTAAATATTCAGACTGGATTTATCCTGGTTTAAAAAAAATTTGATTGCACATCTGGTTTTACAAAGTCGAGTATGAGAAAAAAAAAAATTAGTCAGCTTGACAATACTTTGGAAAATCACTGGTCATTTTAGTTTTTTTTTATACTTTCACATGTGTGAATAAATTAGCTGCAAATCTACTACTTGTATGAGTTTATTTTCGAAGTTGCATGTGTTTTCATTACACCGTATCATTAACACATTCATACTTCTCGCAGGATTTCATAAATATGGATGAGTTTGACGAAATCGACGATGACTCCAGAATGGTACCCGGATGTTCGGGGAGCGAGAGTTCAGTTCCTGTTACCTAGTAAGTAAAATTTTTTATGCTTATGCTTATTTATATTATTTAACGAAGGAGAAATTAAGAAAAAGACATTTTAAAAGAAGCACTTGCAAATGTCAAACGAGAGATCTTAAAAAACTAATTACGGAAAATAGCTGAAAGTCCAGTGTATAATGATTATTATTCGGATATTGGGATATGTCACCTTACGACAACTACGAAGGTACAACATATGAATTACCTATAATCGCACAATAATTTGTTATTGATTAAGGCGCAATTATTTATTCTGCGTCGTTTTTCCCAAATACCAAGTACTTATTAATAAAAGATTATATATACATAAGAAAATAGATGGAACGAAAACTCTGATGCCGTAACAGAGACAAAGTAAGAGATACCAATAATTTCCACTGTGATTGACTTGGGCTGTGTCTACTTATCGAGCTTATCGCTGTTTTCTAGAAAGAGATAGAAAAACTATTAACACCTATCTCTCCTTCTTTATCTTTTGCTACCATTTGCAGGTGATCCAAAATACCTCGGGCGTTTTTTTTTTTTTTTTTGTTGGACGTTTCCTGCACTTAATTGTGCTGCGTATGTATATCTGTGCGATAAAATTAATTACTAAATAGTAGATTTTTTACTTAGGGCAGAAAGTACAATGTTGTATGTTTGTGCCCGAGGTGAGAACGACATTTTTTGTATCGAGGGCGGAAAGTGCTACTTTGAGCCCGTGGGCTCACTTTCGGCCAGTCAATTACTTTCCGCCCTAGGGTAGGAACGAACTTTGGGCCCGAATATTTCTTCCTGCCCGTGTTTTCATCGTGCAAAATACGGTACTTGAAAATATATTTGACATTGACTCGACATGTCTTTCTTGACAGCTACTTTCCTATTTAAAAGTGTGTTTGTGAAAGTACGAATTTTTTTCTGAATTTCAGGGCTGAAAAGGCAACATAGCCTCACCGGTAAAAATCGCATGGCCTGGTAACTAGAAAAGTATTTTGGCACTCTCTGCGTGGAAATTGCTTTCCTAGTCGAAGGGGAGGGTAACAAACCCTCATGAAATTTTAAAATACTTTCCAATGAGCAGTGAATGGTGATTTTGGTGGATTTCATCGCATAAATAGTAGAGTAACTTACCTTGATGACAGTTTTTTTTTTCTCAGTTTAATAAATTGATAGCTAGCTGATTGTTTAGTGACCATATATCATTATACAATAGAAGATTTTGTATTGTATGACGTATATCGACAGGACAAATACAGCGCCCGAATACTGCACTATTTTTCCTACTGAGGACGCAGTAAACGCTCATAAGCAGGAAAAAACAATTTATTGGGACACGCAATGGTAACGTAATAATAATTTTTATACCTAAAAGGTATTTAATTCACGACGATATGTGTATATAATAGCAAAGACTTGTTGTTGGTTCGATCGACGGATGGGACAAGTCGATAAGTGGTCTTACTGGTACTCGGGTGGATCGCGTCGAGACAAAAAATGAAAGAAAACGAGCGTTAAGCTCAAAACCGACTGCAAACTTCCTGCAAAGTTTACAACGATACGGGCGATAAATTGAGTTATCACGCATCTGTTTGTTGGCACGATTCCTCCGTAAAATCGGTTCGGACTACCAAGCTGTGGTACACACATAAAAATATCCGTGTCGAAATAAACGCCTTTGAAGGGCACGAATAAAGACTTCTTCTATTGCCTGCAACACAATTACATGCTCGTGTGAGTAAAAGTCGACGTATCATTTTAAAAATCCGCACAACGATTTTACAAATCGATCCGCATTCGGTACCCATCACAGGCGTGTTGGAACAAAACGGTGATAACTGCACCACCTGTTGCGTGTATATACAGTGGAATCGAAAGTGCGTAGCTTAACCCTCGATATGCCAAAGATTGCAAGTCGCAAGGTGCACGCACGTAAAAAGCGCACCAAAAAAAAGGCCGCGATGGCCATTGGTTGGCACCGAGAGCGCATACAAAGCTGTGCTCTTACGCAGCCGCGCGGCCTTACACACACCGGGGGTGGGGCAAAACAAGCACGGGAATGCGCGCGCGGCCCGGCTTATCTCGCGCCTATAGGCGTAGGCCATCGGACTTGTGCCGGGGAAGCTTCTCACAAGCCACGGTCCGCCGCTCACCGAGAGAGAGCCTCGCCAGTTGAACAACGTGCGCCACGCGTCGCGCATCCCGTGAATTTATCACCCGCTGCCCCAACCCGATTACAGTTGCCCACGGCTATTATTAGCCCCAGCTGCCGTGCTTTGGCAGCGGCGACCGGCCGGCGTCTCTATATCTCTCTCGCCCGTCCAATTTGAGAAGCCGTGACGCAGGTAACAACAAACACAGACTCCGTACAAAGCAAGCCAGAAAGCACGAATTTCGCGGACCTGGCCGACAGTAGCTCGTATCGGCAGTCCATAACTCGTTGATCCGCGAGCTCTGGCTCTTCCCGAGTGTCGGTCCGCGAAAGCGGGCCACCCGAGGGCCCCTATGGAGTTCACGCACCCGAGGAGCTGGTTCCAGGAGATGGGCGTCACCGACGGTTGGAAGCCCGAGGCCTGGACCGAAAGGTGCGTGTCCTCGGTGCGCGCCCCTACCTACTGGTCCGAGTGTCCCCTGCAATCGTCCCCGTCGGACGTGTGGTATCAGTACCAGCACCCCCCGCACCAGGAGCAGATTTCGCACGACTCGGCGCTTCAGTTGTACCCGGCGCTGGCCGACACTGTCAACGAGGAGGACAACGTAGACGAGGAGGATGCGGGGGACGAGAGGGAGGACGCGTTTCGGCTCGAGGTACCGACGAAGCTGCAGAAGTCGAACGAAAACCGCAGGGTCGTTACTGCCGTGTCCGACGCGCGGTTCAATCCAGCCGAGAAACCGTTACCAAACAGGTATAATTACCGAGTAGCCCGTCTGTTGTCGCCGATAACACTCTCTGCGCCGTATATAATATGAATCCATCAAAGTGATCGCGAGCGTTTTACGCACACTTCCTGTGTTTGAGGCACGACAAACGCATCATCGCGTTTTGCTGTATAGATCGATCCGACTTACGGACATTCGGAGTGATTCGAGCCCGTGTATTTTTTGTGGATCTTTGTAGGGTGTCGATTCAGAGTCGATTTTTTTCAATTTCATCGAATTTAACCGAGTACATATAATGCAATGGCGAGTGTCTCCAGTTTGGCACAACCTCGCCCTCCCGCGACCTCTTAATCTTCAGCAGGCGGGGGGGTGGGGGGACCACGAATATACGAGCATTGACAGCGGGGTGATAAAAGATTCCAGAAACTTTGATATTATATTGTTTTTTTTACGGTACAACATACATGTAGGGGTAATCAATTTGATGAAACATTTCCATCCAAGTTCTGCTTATGGCTGCACAGTGGTAGTAATAGAAGCTCCAACGATTGCTATGGTTATCTTTATTCCATGCTCGATGCTGAAAACTAGATTATTTTTGTTTCCAGCTTTTTAATTGTTTCCTTCTCGCTTGTCATCTGATTTTTGCTCGCGTATTACAAAATTTGGGATTCTTGGAAAGTATTTTTTTTTTCCACGATATTTGAAAAATCTTTGAAAAGTTTGTTCAAGTAATCACCACAAACGTTAAAGTTTTTTGAAAATCATCCCGTCTACGTAACTCTCGCGATCAAGATGAATACAACAATACTTGGTGTATAAAAGTACGTTAAGCCGTTTAGATTATAGGCTGTGCCAGACAAACGGACACATATACGTGCTTACGTCCAAAACATATAGCCCGTCTTGTAAAGCAGTTGGGTAAAAACGAATACGCAAAAACGAAATTCAGGAAAAATGTGTCGCAAGTATATTTCATTGCAAATTTCTGATATTACAGTACACGTGAATATCTTAATTTGTGGTCATTTCTAAAACTATTTCTAAAGTTTTAATATAAATACTTATCTTAATACCGTTGGATGTAAGTGAATCAGCAACAAAATCTTTAAACACCAATTTCGTAATCTCGCAAATCAAAGAAATTTCACTTTCAAGTAAATAACTAAGTATATATATCATATGTATGCTAATATGATAAGCCTTTAATCTCCCGTAAAGTAAATTCTTTATAATTAAACTTTAGCTATGATCTACTTAAGTTTATGAAGGCTACTTTATCAGCTTTACTATTACCCTTAAGCAGTGGAGCGTCAATCTGCAAGCAGTAAAATCCTCATAATAATTAATTTTATGAATCAAACAATATTTTTTTTTTTGGTTATTAAATTGTCTACTAAATAGATTTTTAGGATTTATAACACTGAAAGAAGTGTGAAGTGACTGACAAAATCGCGCCAATAAAAATCAGGCAGAGCTACTGCATGAACGAGAAATAATACAAATATACCCACACTTAAAGTATGTTCTTGTATGTACACTTTTAGGCGCGCAGTGATTTTTTACCTTGAGGATAGCTGCTTATAAATTTTCAAATGTGAAAAACATACTAATACTGTTCTAAGAAAATTTAAATAACACGCTTTAAGCGCGTCATCAAAATCGCTGTTTTTCAGAACACGCACATCACTTGTGTTAATAATAAGCGTTTTAAAAATAATTAACTTTAATAGCTAAACAAAATTGAATAATTTTAAACAAAACTTCAATGTTGGTAAAGTGCTAAGCAATTTGTCACAAATATTACACATTTGCACTCTTGAATCAACATCAACCTTTTAGCATGAATTTTGTAAATTCCATTATGTTTTAAAAATCTGGTATAATAATTGACTAAAAAAGATATAATTTATTAAATTTTTATTCAAATTGCTAAGATACGTTTTTAAATTTGTATGAATTTTCATCATACGTTAAATTTTACGGAGTTGACACGTGTGTTATTCGAATCATACGTATTCAGAGATTTACAATTTTGAAGTGCAATTTGTAAAACGAAATAAATTAATCGAAACAAAAGTGTATACATAACGTACAAAAACACTTTTACCATGTGCAAAGAACTTATGCAGAAAAACGCTATAATGAACGATACATTGCTTATTCAACAAGGCCAAAGAAATAAACCATATGACATTTATAACGTTGTTTGTACTTAAGTAAAGCACTTTTTACTATTTTATGAGTTATTTCACACATGGTGTCAATAAGAAAAGTTCACAACAAAATTGCAAATAATTTACACCACGTGTATGTTATTTTTTCTTCCAAGAAATTGTTTTTTGTTTTCGTTTAAATTTTGCCACTCGTTATATTTTTATAAAGATAACATTCCCTTTTTCTTTAAAAATAGACCTTAAATTGAAAGAATTTCTTGGTGTATTCTATGAAAAGTTATGCTTCAGAAAGCTTTCACTATATCGTCATCGAGTAGTTAATTGTCAATAAAGTTGTATTTTATTTTTAACGTGTAGTTAATGACTAAGTAGCCTTGAGCATAATTTTTCCTTTTCCTTTTATCAGTATTCTATTAGTAACTTATTAAGGTATTTATATTGCTTTTTTTTAAAATAAGAAGGTTAAGTAATTTTACATTAGCCGTAGACTTTTGACAGTTGCATCGTTCAGTCTTAATTATTTTGTTTTCTTTCACTTAGTCTACGAAACACACAATTATGACTGGGAGCTTATTACCAAGTTATATTACGTTGATGTGTAGATGTAGGATATTTCGCTGTAAACGTGTGTCGAACCGTCAAAGCCTTATGTACAAAGCCAACACGCTGATTACTCATATTAATTGGTAATAACTCCTCTCTTCACGTATATTATTTTATTGTAAGGTCAAAACAGCTCCAAACTTGTTATCACGTCTCCCTAATCTTCCTCGCTTTCTCCAAACCTTTTCCGTCCACTTTTCAATCCAAGTGCATACTCTTACGTCATTATAGTTCTTAGATTTATTTTACTTACAATTGAATTACTAAATTAGGATGAACAAAATTAAGTTTTAATCTCAATTGTTTCAATGTCTTATTTATTGTGAAATAATTTTTAGATAGCGAGTTTTTTCTACAAAATTAAATAAGTAACCTTGGCAGCGATTCATTCAGGATGCACGTAAATACTTGTCAGCTCGTCATCATTCTCTATTTTTGGTAATATATTCAGACTTTTTTTGCGCTCGGATGCTTTTTTACGTTTCTACTTGTTGAAGTAAAAACCATGATATCGAAACAGTTTTTTTGCTTGTTTTTTCTCTCACACCGCTATATAAATAACATTAATACCTGTCACCTCGCTTTTTTTTGTATATATATGAGAAATTCCAGAAACAACTCCAGTTAAGAGTCTCTTGCACTCGGAAATTTTTTGTTATGGTCCAGTTGTAGAACAAAGATATTTCTTTACAAATTTTTGATACATCTCTAGAAGTTCAATAAAATTTGTGAATGTTAATACGACCCATTTTCTCGGTCACTTCCATTTTCAATGTGTTTTTGCGCGAATACCAGAATACAATTGTTTTAAATCTAGCATGAAATAATTTTTTTGTATTTTTTTAGCCTAATCAAGTTAAAAGTGTTCTAGATTTTTTTTTGTAGACCCCGTATAACTATTGAGTCAATCATTTAAAATTTCAAAACAATGCACAACTGTGGGGTTTGAGAACAACTACTAATAGAATTTTTTTTCTTGACATCAGACCAATAACTCAATTATAGTCTCCGATTTAAAGTTTTTTTTTCTTTTATTTATTTACTATTATTTTTTTTTTTAATCAACTTCAACGTGATACTAACTTTAAAAGGCTCAAAAAAGTTTCATATTTATAAATTTTGTTTTCCTAAGTTTTACGTAAGTGCAAATTTTTTAGTCAAAGGTGTTCCTTAATTTTTCCCGATTAAAGTAAACCTTCTAAATGAAATTTTTATAGAATCACCAATGTATACAGCACCTATACATTGCAAGATAATTATATAGCACGAAAAAACACCTTTCCTCATCTTGGCAGTCGGCTCCTCAATCATGCATTCACTCAGCAGAAGACTCACACGTACTTTTGTATACTTGGACACTTTTTTCTTCGGTCCATTCGGCTGCGTTTTTTAAAATTTTTTTTTTAACGTTTTAGCCTTGAACGACCGCACACTCTTACAACAACGAATATTTATGGAGAAGACATACCAATTTACAGCTCTTCTCTCATAACATGGGTTGGCATATTTTTAAATGCCTGTTTTTAAAAATTTTTGAGTTACGCGTATTTTCACACCTAATGCAGCAGAGATATATTGTGGTGACAATAATTGGGGATGGGCAAGAAATACCGGATAAAATTGATTTTGATGTTTCTGTCGCACGTACACTTGCTACTTAATTTTTTATTATAACATGCTTATAATTATCTTGTCTTACATTCTCACGTGGTGGTTAATGTAAAGTTGAATCGTAGAATGCGTATTTAGATGGAAAAAGGAAAAAAACCAATACAATAACTTTACATTAGTAATTTTTTTTTTAATGCTGAATATTTTAGCAGTTCTATTAACATAGTCTGTTGAACGTCCTTGGGCGTTTATACATCGATTAGTCTTGTCACTTATACATTTACAACTCTACTGCGTTATTTTGGTTATTTTTATGTTTAATTTTTTTTTAACTTCATTCATCAGAATGCTCGTTCTTCAGTTAGCTCAACTTTGGATGTGTACAATGACAGTCTCTTTCTAAAAAAAAAAAATAATAATAATTGGTTTGGATTATTTGAGTGAAAATTTGAAGAAAAATTTTAAATTTTATTAATTGTACTTGATTGTACCTTTACTGTACAGTAGTGACCTGAAGATATATTAGAATTGATAAATAAACGTATTAAAATATAAAAGCAAGAAATTTATATTTGATGTAAATTGACTATTTTTACAATGAACAACACAATGGCTTTCAAAATGGATTTTTTTTTCATAGAAACATGAGTTAAGGTATAAGGTTAGTCTTTATGGATAGTGTTTATGAAATACACGATCGAATATTATTTAAACCATCACTACTGTATACACGTAACGTCAATACAACTTATTTTATCTATTTTTCTGCGATGACCTTGACAGTGTTTTAACTTGATATAAAGTAAGAATGACTCAAACTGTGTTTGTAAATAATCATATAAATATAAGATACTACAGAGAGATACATTGCTGATATGTAGGACAAGCAGAGTTCCTCCAATTTTTATTAAAAACTATTACATTATATAATTTAGGTTAATAAACAAATAATTAGTCAAGAAGTATTATCGAGTACTTATCTTATCATAATTTTACTTTAACATTTAGATAAGCAATCCTCACAGGTATTATCGATAAATTAGAATACTGGAATCATTAATAAATTAGTTTTCACTTTTACCTATTTTCAAGACTATTGAATAATTTATAATGTAAATATTTAGATATTAAATTAAAAAATACTCGAAAAATATTAACTCGTTATTAAAACTAAANAAAAAAAAAAAAAAAAAAAAAAAAAAAAAAAAAAAAAAAAAAAAAAAAAAAAAAGTACAAATATTGTTTCTCTCCCGCAGTTTGATTCCATTGAACAAGTGCCACTTGCAAATGAGGCAAAATATTCGTCACGATACGCTTCTTTCGGATAAAGAGGAGAGTGAGATAGGGAGATGAAAAGGGGACTTCGAAATTATTGGCGGCGACAAATAAATCGATGGAATCGGTAAACACGCGTTGTTCCGCCGAGAGATCCCGTCGTGTACGTTTCTGCATATTATGTATGTATACGTACGCACACACGTTACACGTGCGACTGGGTTCAATATTTGGGCGTGGTTTTCTGTGCGAAATATTCTCAACCCCGATCCTTTTCGTCCAACTGTATTTTTATCACTACGCGCCCATCGAGGAAAGTTTGGCTCTTCAATTTTTTATAGTTCTCCGGTAAAGTCTCGCGCCGAAGGACGGTGTTGTAGGTTGATTTTTGAAAATAAGAACACGGAACGTAAAAATCGCGTTGAAAGTCCCGGCTCTTATGTGATTCACAATCGAGCGGTGGATTTGAAGTTGACCCAGTTTGTTTTGCTAAAAAAAAGTTTTGTGTATTAATGTGTGAATAAAAAAAAAAAAAAAAAATGTACGAATATTATTTTTGAACGTACGATGCTCATATACATATACGTAAATGCATTATTGTACAAAGAAATGACACGTGAGCAAAACATGCACGCTTTTATCTAGCAAACGTCAGGTGTGTGTACAGCAGCTCGCATGTACAGATAAATATAAATATGTAATACATTTTACCCAGAAGTTACATGATGTATTATTGACTGGTCGTGTTACTACTTTATTGAAAGTTTAATACAACTTTGCGTTATACTGGTTGTAACTACTAATTTTTTTAGATGCCAGCAATAAAAATTTACTGTCACGTATACATAGTTATATTTTTACGTAAAAAACATTTGTTGTTCTAAAAAGTAAAATTAAATCTAATCATTGCATTAAAAATTACAATTGTTGATGTAGAAAAATAATATGGATGATTTTTTTTTTTACCTAGAAAATATACTTACTGTTTTCATTATAATTTTCACTTCTATCAGTAACTGTCGTCGTTAAATCACAACAGTAAAAATGATCGTGACAACAGTCTATAAAAAAGACTATGCTTGTGATGAAGTATAAACAGTTTATAGTTCTAGAATGATAAAGTTTGTTTTTCATTTTTTTTCAGTGCATATCCCAGATTATTCCCATCTCCTGTCAGCTCTCGTTATCTGCATTTGCGTATATTTGACGAAGCGTCGTACTCATGACTGCACATGTAGATTATATGTATTTGATTTTCCATGGGTGGGACCTATGTTTGTCAACACCACATTGTATACGTACACTCTTCTTAAAAAAAAAGAAAAAAAACATAAAATCTTGTTCAGCAAACTCAGTTTGAAAATAATTCAAAAGCATAATGTTTGTTACTTTAGTTGGTGTTAAAATTAAAACCCTGTGTGGCTAAGAATTTTCCGTGTTGATCTAAATTAATTAATCTTCGTTGCTTGAAAAATGGCCTTTCATTTGTCACGAGTACCGGGACCGATGGCTTCCGAATAAGCATCGGGCCACACGATTTAAGTGAGCACGTATACAGTGAAATTGATTTCCCAGAGTTACCTGTCTGGCCGCGGGTTATCGAACTCGGTCTATTTGAGTAAACAAACTCACCGAGTGTCAAAGCCCAACGACTTTGCGCGTTTGGCACAAAGGCCGCTATAAATAAACCAAACGACGCCCCTTCGCACATTTACAATTGGAGCAACGTGATTTCCAACGGCTATACCGTCAAATGCCGAATCCTATATACCTACTTGGCGTATACACTCAAAACTGGCCGCGTACCCTTGCAGTTTACTTAATTAGGAGGGGACTTTTGGCCTACTTTCGAGCCCTTGCGATAATGAATTTCATAATCGTGAGGCTTTCATACGAGCAGTCCAGTTTTGTACACACGTAACAGTCGTTTGAGCCCCATCCTCGCTAGGGCTATACTTTGCGTCCAAATGTCACGAAAAACACCCCGAGGTAGGACAAGTGTATATTTACGATTGCATCGTTGATACTGTTTTTTTTTTTTTTTTTTATTTCAAACGTTGTGGTTCAGAACTTCTATTTGTTCAAAAAAAAAAATAGTAAGAATCACTCCCCCCCTACGAAAAGTCCGGATCGAATAAATTTGGGATACCACACATTCCTGCGACTGGCAGCTCGTCGTCGCGTCGTGTGTCTCCCGTTGTTGCCGTGGGGCTGGAAGAGACGATCGAAAGCACCACCCACACGGCTCCCCAGGACCTTGACGCCGGAGAGGACGTCGCACCGAGCGCCGCGCCGTTATTACGGCCGAGTAAATGCTGTACACGAGGGTTGGCGCACATACACGTACATACACTCGCGCCGAAAAAACTCCTCGAATCCTTGAGAGTTTAGAGCATTTATCGACCTGCTCGCTCAGCTTTTTTTTCCTCCGTATACTTGATAAAAGATTGTCTCCGCGTTATCGTGGCTTTTTTTTTTCTTTTTTTTTTTTTCCTCCGATTCTACATCATCATGCAGGTGTATTTCACCCGATTGAATGGAAACGTTGATGGGGAGTAACCTTTCCGTGACTCCATCATCCGATAAACGCATACACGTCGATTGAACGAGGAAAAAACTGGACCCGGTCGTTTTTATAAGCATCAGCATTATTTTAAACTTTAAATAAATCCGTGCACTCTTGTGATTTTATTCAATAATATGCTGCCCGAATGACGCGTATTAAAGAAAAAAAAAAAAAAAATACAGAACAAATAAAATCGGCTCCGGTTGCCAACGAATACACACACACACATACACACGCCCAAAGTACGAATCTTGCGGCCTTGGTGAAAGAAATGATTGTTTACATGCATCTTCTTATCAGGTGGTGCAATTGCACGTAAGAACTGATAAAGCGTCAATTTTTTTAGATTTGAAAATAAATTTTATCATTTCGTTTCGACCACTGCTGTGGCGAAAATATTCAATACCTCATTTGCTGATATTGAAAGCCATAGCATTATTATTTTTGTTAATTTTACACTACATCAGAACTTGGAAAATACTATTGTAACGATTAGAGTTTTAAGAAGAGGATATTGTGTACACAATTTGGTTTTTTGCTTTTATATAAAATCGAATACAATATGTATACGAGACTAACTCTGCGCTTAAAAAAAATGAAATTAAAAAAAAAAAAAGGAAAAGAGGAATATCATTATTACTGGACAAACAAGTATATTCGAACGTCGAGATCCCCGAATTTTGTGTAAACAAGCATATTACTCTTGGAAGCCGGCAAAAAAAGTGCCAGCCGTAAAAAGCTGGTTTCGGACGGATTATCGTAAACTGCTTGATGTACGCGTGAATGTGTACGTGGTCGCGCAGACGCGAAAAAAAATTTCACACGAACGCAGACTCACGCGCGATTTGGCAATTCGTCGATGCTCGAGTCATCCGGCGTATTTTTTTATTTTTTGTTTGTTATAAATATATTGTTTCCCCTTCCCCCCACAGGTGCGGATCAACAATTTTCTAAAAGATCATAATTAACGTTCAAGAAAGCGATGAAATGTAAATATTTCAGTGTAAAATAAATACTCGATGCTTTGTATAGGAGTTCTCGTTTGATCGAGTGCAAGTGATTCGAGCATTTTTATGTATAATATGTGAATTTGAAGTTGTAAAATGAAATTTTTATGATTTCAGCCAAAGTGCAAGGCAAAGTCGTAACTTGGCCGAGAAGCAGCGGAGGGACAACCTCAACGCGCACATCACGGTGCTGCAGAATTACATGGGCGATCAAGGCAAAAAGTCCGACAAAATCAACACTTTGCGAGCAACTTCCGCTTTCTTGCGAATGTGTTACGGTTGGTACACTTATATATCTTTGATCATTGGTTCACCTGTTATGTTTGTATGTGATAAATATTGAATTGTTTTTTTGCAGTTTTTAATTGGAAAGGTCGGAATAACGAAGAGATGAGAGCGGAAAATTTTGACCCGGTAGAGCAAAAAATCCGAAAATTGATATTACACGCGTCGGTTGGAAATGATGGTTTTCACATTGTCATCACATCGGCTGGAAGCGTCGTGTGGGTCAGCGATCACATTGAACAGCATCTCGGTTACAATAAGGTAATTACTGTAGAATATTTCATATTTTCATTGGAGCAAATAATAGAGTAACCACCAATAAATCGTCTTACTATTGATATAGGGAACAAATTCAAAACGTAATACATGTAAATGTGGTATGAGCGCGTTACATTAGGTGTAGAAACAACGAGGTCTGTAGATAAGTTGTAAGGCTAAATCAAATAATGTTTATCTAATCAGATTCAAATTAAGCAGATAACTCTGTCTCAGTTCTTAAACGTGATGGTTTGCAGTCAGAAGTGATTCATGAGTTGGTAAAAATTGCCAAAACTTTGGCTACTGAAAATAATGTTTTTGCGTTTATTAAACTTTTCTACAATTTTGCCAAATAACGTTTTACTCTAATGAGTTTGAGGTAAAAGTTGTACATCTTTCTGAATTTCAACTTTTACACTGTTTAGTTTTTTCTAGGAAGCCAAATATAATTACATCCGCTATTAAGAAACGATTAAAAATACCGAAAGAAATTTTTTTAATTCGTAACCTGTAGAGCTAAAAAAAATGTTTTTATTTTGAACTTTTTACTGTTGGGTAATTACACATGTTATATGATTCAGAATATGTGCAAAACAACAAAAATCCTTTTTTTTCTATTACAGAAATAAATCGGCATTCTGCGATAAACTTTAAAATAAAAACGCTACAGTAAAAAAAATATAAAGTAAAAATTTTGATTAAAATTTTTGACTAAAACCAAATTTTGCCGTCCAGACTAACTGTCTAAAATAAACACAAATAATGTTATATTCTCTCAATTTGATCGAGTGTAAACAGAGCCGCTATATTAAGCCCAAAAACGTAAAATAAGTTGACAACACGTCTTTGTTGTCAACAAGTCTCTCTGACTTGTGGCAGTAATTGATTTGCCTGTCACCTGTTCCGCATCCATGTGTAGAAAACGCCACACTGCATTAAAAATCGTGCGTGTATGTGTGTGTGTGTGCACCACAGCCGGAAATTAAGAAACCTCAGATGCTCAGATCGTCAGTTTACACTATAACACATGGATCATCCAAGTTTTACTTTTAGAGGCCATGTACCTATTACAAATTGAGTACTAATGAGGTGAAATTTATCAGTATCATATTGATTAGATTGTCAAGAATCGGTATGAATTTTCTATAAATTTTTAATCACGTAATTTTTACATCTTCAAATCAACTTGTATTTTTTGTACTTATTTTTAAGAAATAATACAAATAACGGATTACCACAATAACGAAAAACTAATGCAACAAATCTTACGAAATATCGACAATTATCAAAAAATATAAATCAAAACGGGGACAGACTATTTTATCGGTATGAGCTAAATACATGTGAAAAAAAAGAGCATCGTCTGCTGTTCAAGCACATCAATCCCGTACGACAAAACGCATTTTTACGAGGCTACTTATACAAATTTTTTACTCAATAGCTCTGGAGCTCTGGATAAAAATTTGCGTTATTAACAAGTGCTGATATACTCAAAAAATGAAATTATTATTAGTTTCCGATAGATTTTTCATTAGTTCAAGTGTCTGAGTTACAGTTAAAACTTTTGTCAAATAATCATAAAGTTCTAAGACTTTTTATCAAACGATTCAATAAAAAAAAACTCTTCAGGAAGTATTATCAAGTTTTTAAAATAATATTTTACTAATAAATTTCAGTACAATGGTGATTTAAAAATGGTATCACTGATACAACGCTCAAAATCGAGTTCAATTCGAAAAATATAAAACCTGCATGCGTATTTGAAAAAAATTATGTCGAGTCGATGGTGCATCAAAATTAAGCGACGATAAAAACTGCGAGTGGCGAAAGAGAGATGTACTTAATTAAATGTCGATACCACTGACATGAGTTATCCATCTCTCTGACTCAAGTGTTCAAAAAAATGAACTGCACGTGCCAGCATATAATATGTACACTTGGACGTTATAACGCAAGATGTTTCACATCGAAATGTGCGTTTCACGTGATATAACAAGGCAGCAGGCAACAACGCACATAATAAACATACATCGCGTACTTGTACGCAGTCGTACGCATTATCGATCAAGTACCGGGCAAATCCCGCCTATTTACCAAAATAGTAACAAATGTAGAAAAAGCCGTATGTATGTAGAGCTACAGCGCTGATCCCGGGAGCAACTGCTCCCATGGCAACCTTTCTGGGTCCTGCTATTGTCGAACCACCCCTTTTCTCGGTCGCGCGTGCACGCGCCAAATACTTGTTCAGTTTTTATTTTGCAAAACAACAGTATTACCCCGATTCTCGAGCGCGTGCACGCGTGGGCTGAATTTTTCTACGACGCGTGGTTTCGAGCACATCAATCGATCCGGGGCTCTTTGTTGCATGAAAAAAAGAAAAAAAAATTATGGCAGCTCGGATATTTGGAAAACAAGGGGACACAACTTGGATCCCGTATAACAGTTCTATTGTTTAAAACAAGCCAAGTAAGGAGAAACCGATCGTGCGAAACATGATAATTCCTAACGCGAGTTAGCCTTCGTATCGCGATTATTCGTATGAAAGAACAATGCAATCGTATATCGTATCGGCTCAAGCGCAAAGCTGCGTTTTTAATGTTATTGTCCATTATGATATGATTTATTTCAATCTTCAGCCTTGAACTTTTACCGGTTTCGAATAAAACACTCGAAACGATTTGTCTCTCTTTGATTTAACATCGATTCGTCACCTTTTTCTGCACATGTATATGTTGTATACTCAAAGTAGTTGTGACCCCCTCTCCCCCAGCCCAAGAAAGTATTAAAAAAAAAAAAAAAAAAAAAAAAAAAAAAAAAAAGATTTGAAAGAGAAAATGGGATAGCTAGAGAAAAGAAAGACGGTGATGTGCATATCAAGGTCACCTTCCGCCATACCCCTACATCTCCTTCTTTCCCAACACTTTTTTCCTTCTGTACACACCGATGCTCGCTTTCGCTCGCGATTTCGTCCATTCAGCTTTTTATCGAACATTTTCGTGTGTGTGCGTGTGCGCGTGCGTGCGTGGTTACGTGCAAAAGTTTGCGTAGCCATCAAACGAGTCCGCACTGTCGGCACCGTCAGACGCCGTCTGACTTTTCTTTCCTCTTCCACAGGCACCTATTCCGACGCCCGCCAACTTTTTTGGTGCCCTCTTCACCCCCTTTTTTTTCACCCTCGCTCGTTACATCTACATAAATACAGTCTCCTGATGGTGCTCCTCTCCCGACTTCAACTAAACATTCATTTTCCGTAAGTACTTAGTTGCAGTTGAAAAAAAAAATAACCCGTTGAAATTGCGTCAAGGAAAGAGAAAAAAAAAAAACCGTCTAGCTGATGCATTTAATATGTCTATACAATATTTCATGAATAAATCTATCCTTGCGATACCGCATTTACTCAACAGACTCGGGTGTCCCGAGGGGGAAGGCTCCCAGACCACAGTCTCGCATTAAAGGGTATCATATGAATGGACACACCATAAACATGAGCGTTCAAATTAACCTGCTGCGCCGCTGCTGTGCGTGTCTGTCTGGTGTTCTAAAGACGCACACCACATGGGTTTAATGAAGCGATATGAGTCTTGCGGTGATAAAAGGCGAGCAAAGTTCACCTGCATTATGCAACGTGAAGGATGTGCATGAACCAGTGGAGTTTTCAGGAACGACAGAGAGTAACATAATATCCGCCAAAGAGTGGACGTCCGGAAATATTAGGCACATCGACGGCGAGACATCTGCACCGTTTTTCCTCGTTAGCTTGTGTTTTTAGTTTACTGGAAAATAAAACTCAGTTATTTTTTTTATTTTTTTTTTTCACATTATTTACAGGCGGCTGAATTTTACCTTTAAGTATTAACTTTTATCTTTATTTCTGTTTCATGTCTCCTCATTATTTTTGCAATGCAGGTACACTTGTCCCGGACGGAAGTACAGCCTTTTTNAACTAAAAATATAATAGATAGTTTTTTTTTCAAGTAACTTTGAAAGTTGAAGATACCATTGACATGATTCGTATTTTTTGATTATGATTAAGCAATTTATAGCTATTCATTTTCTCGTTAAATTATTTTAAGAAAAAAACGTACGTGTTGATTATATATACCAACTATACTAGCCAAATGAGTGCTCAATATAAAAACTGTAAAAAATAATATACTTAATATTTTGCTATTTTCGAATCCATTGGACTCAGAAAGGTGATTTCCTATAATCAAGCATACAATAACGTTGTGTACTGTAAAATTAGTTTCATACGAATTGATTTTCTCATAAAGGTACTTAGTATAGTTCGCTCAGCCATTTTAACCATAAGCATTACTCAATAATTATGAGGCTAAAATTATTTTTAAAAAATCAAAAATAAAATAAGAGTCTTTAATACGAGGAGTAGTTTTTTTACAGTTTTTCAGACATGTGCTACTCATCGTGACAGTGACAAAAATAATGAGTCTCCATTACTGGGGTTCGATCGAACACTTCGATATCGCGATCGAGTTCATGTTTTGACTGTCACATTTCATTAGATGTTACGAAAACGTGGCGAAAATGTTACATGCCACCCCTTCCGCAAGTAAAGTGGCAGTCAAAACTCGAACTCGATGGCGATATCGAAGTGCTCGATCGAACCCCTGCTGTCGTCAATCCAATACAAATTTATGCTGAAATTGAGATTTTTAACAAAAGATATCATAAAAAACCTCGAGGTCAGTTGACCATTGTCATACACGTTCCTCAGAATTGTGTACTTATTTATCATCACTTTTTATTCAGCATAGCTCCCAAATACTGCACATTTTTTAACCTCAATTCGTTTCACCTGTAATCGTTGTATTGTTACATGTTATCAATCTTATAATTATTAAAAAGAAAAAAAAAAAAAACATAAAAACAAAATGAATCAAGCACTTTAATTGCATAGAGTACCTCAAGTATTGAACGACCCTCACAAATAATTAAAATGTTATTTTTCTTAAATATGTTTAACGTTGATAAGACTTATTAAT